AACATAGTGGTAGGTTGCCCACAGCTACAGTCATGTTGACTCACCCACACTGCCTTGCTCTACTGATTCACAACTAAATCTCTGAGAACATGCATGCCAAGCAGTTAAAATTCATAAACACACAGGTCCAGGCTGAGAATTCTGGGTTGCTCTGGGTGGAGAGGTGAGTCCTTGCCCTGCAGAAGCCCTGACAACCGTACCCACAACCCAACTACACTGATGATTCCACTCTACCACTTCACTAATACTTTTTACAGAGACACCAAACTTCAAAAAATTTCAGGTACTCCTGGTGTCCAGGCTGAGAACTCTGGAGTCTTTTCAACTCATTGGCCCAGACCATTGATCACAAAATGTCTGGATACCTCCCAAATTGTCAATACAAAAATTCTAGTAGGAACACACCAAATTACATGGACAACACATCCTTAACAACACAATGGTACGATAAAATAATTTTCACGTTTTCTCTTAGTGAAGTATTTTTGATAATTCAATTTAGTTGCAACAAGCAATATAAAATAAATTATTGTGTGCCTGCTTTGGGGGCAGGCTAGGAGGGTAGTTTGGTTAATGGGGACAGAGGTGGAGGAATGCTCACTTTGGCAGTGGAATTGGTGTTCAAACACTGAAAGCCCACAACAACCATAGTATGAATAACTTTGTAAACCACAGTGCTTAAATAAAGTATCTTACTTACAAAAAAAATATACCAGCGGAATGTTAGCTAAGAATCCCCAGTAAGGTCCCCAGAGTTTCTGGAGCACCACTTGGGAGTACACCCTGAAAAAATAATAAAATAAAGGAAAACCTTAAAAAAATTTTAAAAAACAGTGTATTTATCCTTCCTCCTTTTCTTCTTTCTTTCTCCCTTTCTTCTTCTCTTCTACCCTTCTTCCTCATACTTTTTTTTTTAATGTAGGAGTACTGCTATTTAGTCAGCCACTGATTAGCTGATTGAATTGGGGATGAACGCCACCTTTTTTTCCCCGTAATTTATTTTTTTCTTCTTATATTTATTTATTGAATCACTGTGGGAAAATTTACAAAGCTTTCAGGTTTAAGTCTTGGTCATACAATGATCAAACACTTCACCAGTACTCATTTTTCACCACCAAGAACCCCAATTTACCCCCCTCCCACCTCTCCCAATGCCTGTGCTTCCTCACATTTTCTTCCTGCCTCTTTCCCTCTCTCCCTTCCTCTTTCTCTCTCTCTCCCTTCTGTTTCTTTCTCCCTTCCTGTCTCTCTCTTTCTTTCTCTCTTTCTTCCTTCCTTCCTTTCTTTCTTTCTTTCTTTCTTTCTCTCTTTCTTTCTTTCCTTTTTTTTTTGCTTTTTGGGTCACACCTGGCGATGCACAGGGGTTACTCCTGGCTCTGCACTCAGGAGTTACTCCTGGCGGTGCTCAGAGGACCATATGGGATGCTGGGAATCGAACCCGGGTTGGCCGCATGCAAGGCAAAGGCCCTACCTGCTGTGCTATCTCTCCAACTCGTCTTTCTTTCTTTCTTTCTTTCTTTCTTTCTTTCTTTCTTTCTTTCTTTCTTTCTTTCTCTCTCTCTCTCTCTCTCTCTCTCTCTCTCTCTCTCTCTTTCTTTCTTTCTTTCTTTCTTTCTTTCTTTCTTCTTTCCTTTCTTGTATCTTTGAGGGTTCAGGGCTACTACTTGTTCTATGCCCAGGAGTCATTCTGGGGATCCTATGGTGTCAGGGATTGAACTAGTATCTTCCCTTCCCTTCCCTTCCCTTCCCTTCCCTTCCCTTCCCTTCCCTTCCCTTCCCTTCCCTTCCCTTCCCTTCCCTTCCCTTCCCTTCCCTTCCCTTCCCTTCCCTCCCCTCCCCTCCCCTCCCCTCCCCTCCCCTCCCAATATCCCTTCCGCCACACCCACATCCCCTCCTCTCCCCTCCCCTCCCCTCCCTTCCCCTCCCCTCCCTTCTTCTGCCCCTCTCCTTCCCTCCCTTTCTTTCTTGACAATGCTCAGAACTTACTCCTGCTTAACACTCAGGAATTACTCTTTTTTTTTTGATAAACGAGCTTTTAAATTCGTTTTCAAGGTTTTTAAGGACATTTCCCTATGAGCTCTAAAAAAAAAAATAGCACTTTATGACAAAGGAATTGTATGGAGGGGGGAGAAGATGCCAGAGGCAAATCAGTTCAAGTCAGTAAGTTCCGATTCAATATTTAACTAAAACTGTTTCATCAAGTACGTAAATCTTTCTTGCATTTTACGGTGACAAGAATAACAAAATTCATATAAACCCAAGAAGAAAAGAAAACTATGTAAAAATCTCCAAAGTGGTGTTCAGGAACTTAGCAATGTGTGCTTTACAAGCAGAAGGGTTCAAAGCTAATAAGCAAAACATTCTTTTTTTTTTAACTCCTCATTTTGTCAATTTTATTTTATTTTTATTTTTTAAATTGAATCACCGTGAGATACAGTTACAAAACTCTCATGATTGAGTTTCAGTCATACAATGATCAAACACCCATCCCTCCACCAGTACGCATTTTCCACCAGCAATGTTCCCAATATCCCTTTCGCCACACCCACCATTTTACCCCCTGCCTCTGTAGCAGGTACCTTACTTCTTACTATCTCTTTCTTATGGGCATTATGCTTTGCAATACAGATACTGAGAGGCCGTCAGATTTGCCCTTAGTCTACTTTCAGCACACATCTTTTATCCCAAGTGATCTCGCTAACCATCATTGACTCAGTGGTCTCTTTTCCATGCTGCCTTCTCCCCAACACTTGAGAAAGGCTTCCAAACCATGGAGTGATTCAGGAATTACTCTTTTTTTTAATGAGCATATTAAAAAGTTTTTATTCTTTTATCTCTAGTCATCATTTTTACTGCTATACTTGTTCTAACTGGAATGAAATGTCCTTTAAATTGTATTTTGTCCGAGTAACCCATCAAAATTCAGAATGAGCAATCCCACTACAGATTACAAGCTAATAAATAAATAAAAACACATCATGATCACGATTAGATCCAGGAATTACTCTTGAAGGTCCTCAGGTCTGTGGACTGAACCTGGGTTGGTCTCAAGCAAGGCAAGTGCTCTACCTTGCTATCTCTCCAGTTCCTGAAACAGAGTTTTCTGTGTGCTCCCACTCACTGAGCTATCACTCAGCACCCCCTTGTCTATCTTTCTGATGTAGGTAGGTAGATAGGGAAAGATCCTGGCAATGAAACTCAGGTCAACAAAACTTCTGGGAGGAAAATTCTAAGGCTGACCACCCTGAGGATATGAATAAGACCCTGAGGAGATTGGACCCCTCCCCATGAAGGAAATTCCTTGAGCACTCTCAGACCTCTCCCTTAATCTGATTAACTTTAGTGATTCAGCCCAGAGAAGACCATCACCACTCCCCAATCTGCCCCCCTCACCTCCTTAGCAATGGACTTTTACCTAGATGGAAGTGCCCCTTGGGGACAGATTGGGGAAACCCTATAAAGGCCACCTTGAACAAAGAAAGGTGAGCCTATGGGCTGCTGGCGCCTATGTGGCTGAGTAATGTGGTACCTGAGCACGAGTCACTCGCATCTTCTCTCTTGAGATATGTACTTTCATGCTTTCGTGTCAAATGCTGTATGTGTCTAGGGGCTCTTTCTTCGCTCTTGGAGAAGTCCACATTCTCTCTTGAGTGCATTATTCTCTCTCACTCTCTCCCCCTCCACACCTTCAAAAACCCTCCAAATAAAATCTATTTATTTCATTACTTGTCTACTCCTGAAATTCCTTTCTTCGAGATAAGACAAGAACCCAGAACCCTGGGTCCCGGCTGACAGAGGTGGATGGGAAGAAAGTGGCCATCTTTCTCCTCTCCGCTTCACATAAGCCACCCGTGGAGCCCGTTAAGCCACCCGTGGGGCCCACTGACATCATTTCAAGACATAAAGGAACTTTGTATTAAAAAATTATGTGTATAATCAATTCAGAGAAGTTTTCTTAGAGGGAATTACTGGATGAAATAGTATCCCTTTTGTGAAGACAGTGCATGTGGAGATAATAGAGTAGCACTTTACTGCAGCACTTAAATTGAATTATGTGATCATTTACCACGTCATGAGCAGTCATGTTCTGAGTTTCAATCCATCAATCAAAATACCTCTTAAATTTCTCATGGGAACCGAATGATTAATTCAGGACTGGTTTCTATCATAATCCCAACACAGTTTTGTTTCTTTTATTTTGGGGCTACACTCTGTGATGCTCAGACATTGAGCATCTTAGGTCTGGGTCTTGCTCTCAAAAACTATTCCTGGTGGTGCTTGGGAAACTCAACGGCATGCTGAATCCGACCCAGGTTGGCTACGTGCAAGACAAGCGCCCTGCCCACCGTCCTATCTCTCCAGCCCCCCAATACATACTTGGATTTTATGAATTTTGATCCTTCTCAGGCTCCTCCCCTCTCACTTCAACCAGAAAATTCACCCACTCTGTCACCTACTTCCCTCAAACCGAGTAGAATTTGGCCAGTGGGGAGCTTGATGACTGAAGCGTAGGTCCCAGACACACATGATTGAACAAAAGCAGAGAAACGGGCTCCTTTGGACCTGAATTTGCAATGATAGACACTAACAATTCTTAGGAATTCAGATGCAGGAAGTGAAATACTACACTTTTTTTTTTTCTTTCCTGGTACTGTGCTCTCACAAATAGTTTTTTTTTAAAAAAAAAAAGGAAGTCAGAGAGCCGAAAAAGGTATAAGTGGAGTAGTCAAATCCTGGAGGAGGGGCTGGAGTGATATCACAGTGGGTAGGGCATTTGCTTTGCACGCTGCCAACCCGGATATGAGTCTCAGCATCCCCTATGGTCCCCTGAGCACCACCAGGAGTAATTCCTGAGTGCGGAACCAGGAGTAATTCCTGTACATAGCAGGGCGTGACCCAAAAAGCAAAAAAAAATCCTGGAGGAGGACAGCAAAACTCACGTCATATCCAACTCCCCTGCATACATAATTTCTGCCTTTTCCTTATTTGCTGTCCAAAATTAAGGAAACAGGATATCACAGATTATAGATTTGCACTCCCAGACATAAATATCAAGACAACCACAGCTGTTTACTTATGTGGATTCTTCATCAGCCATCTCTACCCCAAGTCTCCAGAATTGAGGATTTTCCAACTCTGGTCATTGCTACACAAGGATACTAAGAATCTTTGCTGCCTGAATTTCCACAGGTAAGGGGCTAGAATGCAGGTTCTGTAAAGGGGACAGGGCCGGATGTGAGAGGAAGCAGAGAGAAGGGAATGGGTCTCAAGTGTGACTAAATGAAAAGAAATAGAAAGGAACGTCTTGGGGCATTGACTACTAAGTGGAGATTTCAGACTCTCTTCCCTCACCGGACTGAACTGAACATCATGATTTGCACTCACAGCCTCAGTCATCAACTGAGACTCAAACCCAATTCCATCACTAGTCTATTCATAGAGCTCCATTCTGCAATACTAATCCCACTGCTAACTCCTGGTGCTCTTTAACCCCAGAGCCAACTAGAATCTTAACACCAGTGTCAATTGCAAAGCTGGATCTCAATTCTATTTCCAACTTTGATACAAACATAGGTTCAATTTTGTCCATGAAGTTCATACATGAGTATGGACTTGAATCCAAGTGGTGACAACCCTCAATTCCAGAACCCTATATTTGACCTATTTTGCAAGACATTGAACTGCAACTCTATTTCTACTTTCAATGGAAAACTCAGAACAACCCCAACTCAAATTTCATTCCTGACCCTACTTCTAATCTCAGATACAAACCCAAGTCTATTCCGAGACCTAGTTCTAAACCCAGGTGCCTTCTTAATCTGAAACTCATCTTTGGCCTCTGCTCTGGCTCTGACCTCAGCTCTAACCTGCTTCCAGCCTCTCCCTTTCTCCCAGAAACCTGGCCTAGCCTTGTCTCTATTTCAGCTCTTACAGCTTCCTTGTTGGTGAAAGCATGTCAACAAAGTACGAAAACTTCCAAGACCTGGAGAATGAGGAGAGAAGAGAGCGCTTTAAGAATGGTAAGAGAAAAAGATGTTTTTTCCTAAAACATATTTAGGAAGATTTCTGCTATCATTTCATGTCTGTAACCGTATCCTGAGAACTGGTGATTATCTCCACTCTGAGTGGCCTGGGACCTAGCCTCAGATGTCTGTGGTATGACAACAATTCAAATCTCTTGAGAGAAACAGGGATAGGAAAGTCTACAGTACATCTGCTTCCTATGCTCTGGGAGACGATGAGAGTTTACACTGGGAGGGGGATGACTCATTAGGTTTAGATGGGAAACTCATTTGCTAATTTGATGGAATAGAGAAGCCTTAAGAGCCTGGATGTCTCCGGGTCCTCCTGCCTCCTCCCTTACTTTCTTGAGAGGACCTTACATAACACCATTATGCCCTGTTTCTGTGTTGTGTACCCGTGTGCGCACATCTGCGCGCGTGCGTGCGTGTGTGTGAGTGTATGTGTGTGTCCTGGGGGTGGAGATCCATATGACTGAGGACTTGGTGACTGAAGACTTGTGCTGCTTAATGATGAGTGAAAGACTATAAGATGTTCCCTACCCCACAGTTAGTTTTGCCCAGCCTTCCCCAGCATCACCTGAGAAAGCTTTCATCTCTGACAGGTCCCTGTGGCCCTCTCCTTCTCCCCTGTCTCTCTTATGCTCTGGACCCTGCTGGCCCTAACATGTTCTCCTCTTGTAGGGCTGCTTCCTCCCCAGTCCTTCCTCCAGCATTTCTGCTCGGGCCTCCGCCTAATCCTGCTCAACTTGGGCCTCAGCCTTCTCCTACTGGTCGCCATCTGTGTTATTGGATTCAAAAGTAAGTCACAGGATGGGCAGGAGAAATTATGGAGTGCCATGGTGAGGGTGATAGGAGATAGTGATGGACCAAATTAGCAGAAGAGGTTGTGGCTTATTAGCTGGGTAACACAGTCAAATGACAAATCTGTAAGTCTTGTTTTCCTCACATGTAATGTTGGATATCAATTTCACCTTCCCCTTTGGATTTAGTTGCTATGCCAACAGATCAAAATATGGCATGTGAAGTGCCAACTCAGTGCTCCCTCATAAAGTGCTTGTTGTATCTTGACACCAGTTGCCTCATCTCCCCCACTCAGATTCCAAGTTCCAAAGTGATCTGGTAAGCCTGAGAACATCATTCAGCAATTTCACATCAAACACAGAGGCTGAGGTCCAGGCACTGAGCTCGCAGGGTAAGTGTAGTGTGAAAGAAACTCTTATAAGGATGGAGTGCTGAGGGGAGGTAGGGTCCTGACTCCTGAGTTTCTCTGAGTCCTGGTGTCCTTTAGGTCATAGTGCACAAGGAACCATAGAATCTCTGAAATCTGAGGTGGAGAATCACAGGCAGGAGTTGCAAGCAGGTGAGAGAGCCTCCAGGAGGATGTATGACGGCAGGGGCCTCCTAAGATTGGGGTGGAGTGGGCATGGGCTGAGAACAGACTTGTAATGCTGAGTGCTATTCTCTTAAGCTCGTAGCTTGAATGACAAGGTTCTTGCTCTGGAAAACACGCTGGATAAACAGCAGCACCAACTCAAAGCAGGTCAGACCTCTTCTCTTCTCCTCTCTTTTTGGATGTGGTATGTAAGGGACCGCCTGAAGATTCTAGGTTGGTCCCTATAGGGACAGATGGACTCCAAGAACTCACTAAGTAGGAGCCACACCCAGAGCACTGTCCCCATGGCCCCTCTTTGTTTGTCAGATTATTCGGAAATGCTCTCATTTGTCCAGAAGTTGGCTAAAGACCTGAACTCCCTGAACTGCAAGATAGCTTCTCTCAAGAACAATGGTAAGGGGTGTTTCAGACTGCCTGTCCACTTACCACTGACCAGCTTCTCAGACCCTCCCTTCCCCTGGCTCCCACAGGCTCTCAAACTTCCTGTTGTCCCACTAATTGGCTGAACTATGAAGGCAGCTGCTACTGGTTCTCTAGCTCTGGGAAGTCCTGGCATGAGGCTGAGAAAAACTGTCAACTGAAGAACGCCCATCTGGTTGTCATCAATTCCAGGGAGGAAGAGGTGAAAACCTTTGCTGTGCTTTTAAGGAAATAGTTCTCAACCTTGGCTGCACATTAGATTATATCCCCGGCCCCTGGGCCCTTTACAAGCAACTGCCAGCTCAGTCTCACCCCCCAGTGGTTTCATTTGCCTGGGTGTTGGGATAATCATCCCAAAACTACTCCTCTCTTTTAACCAAAAGCTCAAGTTTGGAACTGCTAGTCCAAGTTGTTGGCTAGGGTGGGAAAGTCATCATTACCCTTTTGTTGCTCCAGAATTTTGTACAGGAATATATAGGTTCCTCATATACTTGGATGGGCCTCAGTGATCCTGACGGTGTCTGGAAATGGGCAGATGGGACGAACTATGAAACCAACTACAAGTGAGTTTACTCTGACTTTCTGTGTCCTTCTCAGCTCAGCTTCTGACCCATCATCCCTGCTTCCCAGACCTAGATTATCTTCTGATCTCCCTAGTGTGCTTTTATTTTCTTCCCTTAGGAACTGGAGGCCGGGACAGCCAGATGACTGGCACGGACATGGGCTGGGTGGAGGCGAGGACTGTGCCCACCTCCATCCCGATGGCGGGTGGAATGATAATGCCTGCCAAAGGATTTTCCACTGGGTCTGTGAAACTGGCCTGAGTCTACCCAGCTAAGAGGACCCTGGAAACACTTTCTATAGATCACTCAACTTGGCAGTGGCTGGAAATCCTTCTCCTGATACTTCAATAACAAGACCTCTGTGATAGTGAGTCTCTGAGACAATGTCCAGCAGGACAACTGAAAGGATATACAGCCATCCCTTTGCTCTTCTCTAAGTGTTTTCTTAGTTCCCTTTTGTAAAAATAGACATTTATGAATATTGTTCTTGGCCACCAAACCAACAAATGACCCAAATACCCGCCAATCAACCATCTCTCAATCAACTGACAACAGTGAAACATCCATTCAACAGTCAATAACCAACTAACAAGTTCATTCTTGTCTCTTTATGTTTTTTGCCTAATTTTTAACATATTTTATACATATTACATTCCAATAGCTTCTACACATCAGACTTAAAAATAATTATTATTTGTTCTTCTGAGCTTTTTGTTATGTATCAAAATTATTTTAATTATTCTGTTAAAGTTATTGTTATAATTCTTTAAAACATCACTTAAGGACAGCAACATCTTTGTGGTTAAAGCTTTAAGAAAACATCATCCATCCATTGTTGGGCCCCTGAATAATTAGGAGCCACTGCTCTGTGCTGATAAGGGCTGGGAAACAGTGGGCTCTGATCCTGAGCAACTCTCTGTGGGATTTGTGGCAAACACCTGTGCTAATAAAGCTTGGGAGAGGGTGTGCTCTGACCCTGAACAGTGTAAAGGATTTGCTCCCATATGAACTTGCTCTGTGTTTGATGTATCTTGTTTTTTCTTCTCATGTCTCATTACTTTGTTTTTGATGAAAATATAAGTAAAAACCTTGACCCATGTGTTAGAAAGGAGATTTGTAGAGAATGGAAGAAATTAAGGGAGGGGGGAGAAATAATGGGTGAACAGGCATCAGGGCTTCAGTTATAGTGTTGATATGGGTGAGTGGTACAGCCATATATCCAAAACACAGACTCAACAACACTGAAAACATGCAATCTAAGCTGCAACCACTGAAACTTTGTAATGTGCCTATTCAGATGATTGTAGGGGATGGGCTGGGGATTGGAGTGGGAAAAGAATACGGACGGGAACACTGGTTGACACTGGTGGTGGGATTGTGTGTATTCAAAAATAAATTATAAAGGCCACAGCATCTCTCTCTCTCTCTCTCTCTCTCTCTCTCTTGCTGCCTGCGTTTGGTGGTCTTATGCCACTTCCCTCACCCCGGGGCAGCCAGTGGCAATGGGCAAACAAAGGAGGGAACGAGGGCCAGGCTGGTTGGTATCAATTACGGTTTATTCCAATTTTTTCTCTGTTCTCTTCTTCCCCACTTCCCCAACCCCTTTCATTCTCCTTCTCCCGATTCTCCTCCTTCATTCTTCTCCATCCTCCTTCTGGATCCCCCAATTTTCCCCGACTCCCCTTGATTCTCCCTCATATCTTCCCCCCTTGCCCACTCCTACAGCCTTAGTTAAAGCCCAAATCATAACAAAAAAAAAAGCCCAAATCATGAGGTTTTGGGGTAACAATTACACATAGCTGTGGTTATACAATCAACAAAGGTAAAATCCTTTCCTCGGGGGAAGCTTCTTCTAGGACAAACTCTCATTCATTAGGACGATCCACCCAAGAGTGAAATTCCATCTATGGGTTTGTGTTTCTCCTTTCCTTAGTTCCAACAAACATATAAACATTCATAATATTAGTCATTTTTAATGGACACAGTAAGAGATACATTAAGTTTATAGGATTGCTCTCCTGGGGCCATCTCACTATAGATCTCAGACTATCTCAGGCCAGATTAGTCTTTCCTAATTCCTAATCAGTCTTTCCTAAAAGCAGGGTCCTAATTCAGTTGTTACTTTTTGGATCATGACAGAATTTGTCCATGACCATGCTCTTAACTTATAGTTAAGTATTGTGGCACTTTGGCCTGACCCATTTCGATGCCAGGGTAGCTCACAGCTTGCCCCAGGTCCATCCAGTCCCTTGTCGGGACCCTGTTTTTGGGGTGCTAGGATCTAAGGGCAACTGAAGCTTAAGTTGAGAAAGCAGATGCCCAGAAGTGCATATTATTCAGAGTCAATTAACTCCCAAGTTACAAAAGCATAGTATAAACTTCCTGTGTCTATACAAAAAGGACATTGTTTTAAAGTAAACTATGCAAAAAACCATAAATGAAGAAGAAATATTTTACTTATGAATACAAGTCCAGTGTCCTTGAAGGATCTGACCTTACAAGTTAACAGAGTCTGATTAGTGGGGGAAGGTAATAGACCGGTTGGGAAAGCAGAGCACAAAGAGGTTACAGATAAGCAAAGGAACGGGAGTGACTTGGGAGTACTGTGATGGGTGTAACCCGATAAACCTAAGCTCCCTGTGGCAAAGGAGAAAGGAGAAACCAATGTTAAGCCTAAAATCACAGTTCTTCAATAAAAAATAAATTTAAAAAACCTAGTTAATCTTGCAAGATTTTAATTGATACCTGGAAATGTTCTTTTGAAGTATAAATGCAATCTCAGTTTTTGAATCATTTGTCAAATGGGTTAGAGTTGTATGATCCATCGTGATCCCTGGACCCATCTTGATGAAATAAACTTCTGTCCTACTCCTATTCTGTGTCTCAGTTATTTTATTGAGTTCTGATGAACTTGGACATAACATTATAAAATCAGATCAGGATCTGAAGAAATAATACAGTGGGTAGAGCACTTGGCTTGCATTCGACTGTCCCAGGTTTGATCTCCATCATCCCTTATGGTTCTCTGAGCACCACTAGGAGTAACACCTGAGCATTACCAAGTGTGTCCCCCAAACAAATAAAAAATTAGATTAAATAAATATACTTGTATATTTGTACCAGCTTTTGCTCATGGTACCTATAATATGGGAAAATTCTATTTTCCTGTGGTTCCTCAAGTCTGCTAAGGTTCCTAGTCCATCAGAAAGTGACCTTTACAAAGACCATGTGTCAAATTCACTTCCCAGAAGGGCTTTGTTAAAACTCTGTTCCCTGCTGATAAAATCAGCTTCCAAAAATACAAAAATCCAAGATCTAAAACTGCCTAATTAAGCTGCCGCTGGCACCATATAATCTCATTAAAGGCTATAATCTAGAGACTCAATATAAATCTCTTGAAAGAGAGCACAGAATGATATGCCATAGACATGCCTCCAAACCCTAAGCCAGCTGCTTCATTCAGGGCAACCAGAGGAGGCAGGTGAGGCCTCTCCCCGCCCCAACGGAGCCAGCCCTGACAGCTGAAAACCTTTAAAACTTAAATCACCGCCATTTCATGGCTGCTCCCCACATGCTTGAACAAGTCTCACTCATGAGTGAATCTATTCCTGGACTGCACGGCTGTGAACACCAATATACCAAGAGTAGCACACCACATTTGATTGGGAAGGCAACCCATCTTAGGGGGTAATATATTTATACATATATATGTATATATATAAGCACATAAGGCTCAACCTTTAACAACATGTTACTTATCTCTTATAGAAGGGCTTAGTGGGTGCTGGGCGAAATACAACAATCTTCACACACTTTCCTCTAAGAAAAGTTTTTTGGATAAGTTTTTAGCAGATTATTCATAACAACTAATACAAAATAAAATATTTTGGTTCTGCTTGGGAAGCAGGGTTTGGGGTTCAGCATGGAAATATGGTGGTGGGTAGCTGTAATGGTGGTGGGAATAGTGTTTAAATATTAGATGTAATCAAATATTGTGAACAACTTTTTAAAAATAAGAGAAAAAATTTAGAAAGAAAATTATCAACAAAACTGCCTAATTAAATAAATTGTGTTTTCAATTATGACAGTTCAGAAAACTCAAACAACTGTATTGCACAACTGAATTTTCAAACTGCTTCTTGGTAGGATATAATTGTATTAAATGTATGCAAATACTACTTTGGCATCGAACCATTGAAAGAGATTTACTTAGAGAACATTACCTCAATATGGAAGGAAGCAAGAAAGTTTAAAGAAAAATGGACTAACTTATAGACTGGAGAGGAAAGAAAAAACACTTATTTATGAAAGTATCAAAAATAGAACATTAGGGACAGGAGAGAGTACAGAGGCTAAAGTTTTCGCCTTGCATGCTGCCAACGCAGATTCGACCCATATGGTCCCTTAACACCGGAGTGATCACTGAGTGCAGAGTTAGAAGTAAGCCCATACCATTGAGTATGGCCCCCAAACCCAAAAACCAAAACTAAATAAAACTTTAAGAACACCATTAATATTCCAAACCAATAATGAAAAGTTTATCTCCCTCTGTGGTTTATGCAATCATCACTTGATCACTTGATCACTTGGCTTCCCGTTAATCATCGAGTTGCTCGAGCGGGCGCCAGTAACGTCTCCATTTGTCCCTGTCGCGTGCTAGTGTAGCCCAATGGCGTCTGTTTGCTCTAGGAACACGAAGAGCCTCAAACCGATTGTTCATGATCTTGATGAAGAAGTCTGGCCATCTGGTAGGTGGGCGGACACACGGTCTTTTGACATCCCATGGAATCCATTCGGTAACAGCTCTAGTCCAGTGGTCATCTCTAAATCTCATTACGTGACCAGCCCATCTGATTTTTGACACCTTGGCAAATGAGACAGCATCCCTGATTCTTGATCGTTGATGGAGGTCGGAACTCCGGATTCTTTCTCTCATTTGAGTGAATCGTGATACTCCAAGCATAGCTCTTTCAATTCCTCTTTGGGAGACCTGAATAGCGTTCTCATCCTGTTTGCGTAGGGCCCAGGTCTCTGAGGCATATGTTAATGTAGGAAGAACAGTGGAATCAAAGAGATGTGCCCGGAGCCGGAAGTTTTTCGTCCTCTTAGCTATTTCTTCGACGCTCTTGAAGGCGTTCCAAGCCGCTCTCTTGCTCCTGCGCAGCTCGGGTGCCAGGTCATTTGTCATGTTGACTTCTCGACCTAGGTACATATAGCTGTTGCATTCAGAGATGGTCGTTCCGTTGAGAGCGAATGGGGCGTCAGGAATGTTTCTCATTAAGGTATGCAATCATACCTTAATTAATTCTGTTGCAGCTTTGGTAAGAATTCATTTCATAAAATCCTCTGTCTGAATTAAAGAAGTTCCAGAAATCCTAACTCACAGACAATTGGTGATACAACTGACAATTATCCAAACAATGTCTACTCAGAAGCTTGTACTCATGTGTGTTACTTGAAATAAAAGTATATAAAAGTACTTAGTACAACACCTTTCAGAATAATGTTTCAAACTGTTCTTTGTGGAAGACACTTTTTTTTAAAACCTCATAACTTTATTTTTTTTATTTTTTTTTAAATTTATTTATTTATTGAATCACTGTGGGAAAGGTTACAAAGCTTTCAGGTTTAGGTCTCAGTCATGCAAGTATCAAACACATTTCCCTTTACCAATACTTATTTTTTACCATGAAGAACCCCAATAAAACCCCACACCCCACCCCTCCCAGTCCCTGTGAGGCAGATGAATTCTAGTTAACAGTCTATCTGCTTTGATTAGATTCATTGTTTCAATAAAAGATGCACCACTATTATTTAGAGTTTACCCCCCCAAAATCAGACATGCTGAAAAAGCATTGTGAAGTGATTTGCTTTCTACAGCTGGGTTCAAGAATTAAATGTTGGTTTTGGATTTCTGCTATTTTACTTATTGACCCTGGAAGTATTTCTACTGAAAGTCAGATAGTTAAGAAATTGGTTTCTGTGCTCTGGAGTCATGGCCGTGCTGGAGAGCCGCTCGTGGGGGGCAACTGGTGGCCTCGGTAGGGCGTGAAGGGCGGACTGAAACGCCCCCCTTCCCATGAGGTTTTAGTCGCCCCCACACCCCCAGCTCA